CGCTGCCTGCCGGCGGCTTTCCAGGCTGCAATGCCGCGCAGCCCGGCTGGGACAGGGGTCCGCCTCCTCCCTCAGCTGTAATGGCCGAGGAGGCCAGGGAAGAGAGAGGCCGTGCGGAGAGCGAGGAGTCTGAGGAGGGATCTCATTAAAGCTTATAAATGCCTAAAGAGCGGGTGTCAGGAGGATGGGACCAGACTCTTCTGTGCTGTACCCAGCGACAGGACAAGGGGAAGTAGACACAAACTGGCACACAAGAAGTACAACCAAAACATAAGGAAAAGCTGCTTTACTGTGAGGGTACTAGAGCACTGAACAGGCTGCCCAGAGAGGTTGTGGAGTCTCCTTCTCTGGAGACATTCAAAACCCGCCTGGATGTTTTCCTGTGTGGTGATCTCCGGGTGATCCTGCTTTGGCAGGGGGTTGCCCTGGATGATCTCCAGAGGCCCCTTACAACCCTTGCCATGCTGTGGTTCCCGTGAGGAAGCTGGGGCACCACCAGGCCAGCTCGAAGTTGCTGGTCATAGCTGCCCCAAGTGCCTCAACTGATGCCTCCTCCTGGGGACACGATCCCCTTCCCACCCACACCAGGACAGTGGAAGACAGAGTGTGTCCCCGTGGTGGTGATCCTGCTTCCATGCCCAGCAGGAGCAGGGTCTTGTCAGCCTCAGAGAGTCAGCAAGGGGGCTCTGCTGATCTTCCAGATCTGTGAGGTTTTGGCCAGGTGCCTGAGCTCTTCCCACTGCAGGGGCTGTGTGACTTTGAAGGGGATTTCTTGAGAGGCCCACAGAGCTGTAGAGATGCCACCACAGCCCAGGGCAGGGCACTCTCCACTGTGGTCAGTCTTAGACCTTTTCCAGCTCTTTTGGGGAAGGTCGTGCTCAGGACCAAGCCTACCCCAGGCTGATGGACATGGCAGGCAGGCAGCTCTGTGCTGCACTTGGGGACGAGTTGGTCAGGTCTGACAGCAACACAACACTCAAAGGGTGCGTTGCTCAGCAGCCCATGGCCCTGGTGCTGAGGCTCACTCATGGAGTGTCAGCATCTGGTGTCGCCGTCCTTGAATCACTGGTGGGGTCAAACTTGGTTGCTCATGCAGAAGAAAGACAGGCAAGGGCTCCTGTCTGCTTTCTTCCTCATCCTCTGTTTGCCACTTCCCATCAAGAGCTCCATCATATCTTTGAAGAGAAAGGTGGAGACCACTTGCACCTGGTGGTGACACTTGGCCCAGGCCAGAATGCATGGTCCAGGGCAACGTGGGCAGGGGACACCCCATGGGACATGTACAGTCAGTCACGTGGTTCGTTAATGACTACCTAATGACCTTGGGGGGGGGGGCACAGAGGGGAGTGGGGCTTCCTGGATGCCTGGCTCCCTCCAGACATCCAGTGGACCTTGCTCTTTGCCCTGCCCCTCCTCCTGGATCCTTGCCCATTGGGCCCTGCTGGGACCAGTATAAAAAAGACGCAGAGGAGTGGGAGGGATCCCGGAGACCCTGAGGCCATAAGGGAAACTGAGGCACACACACAGGTGCGGGGTAGGGGACCACAGTGTCTGTGGGAGGGGACTGAGAGGAACCCAAACACCCATGGGGGAGGGAGGATATGTGGGGGATCCAGGTTTGGGGACAGGGGGTGGATCTATAGGGGACCCAAGCTTCTGGGGGTGTGCAGAACCATAGGGGACCTGATTGTCCATGGGGTGTTCTGTAGGGGCCAGGCATTGAGATGGGATCTGCACATGGCCCAGGTGTCTGGGGGTTTGGGGGTCCTTGTGCATTTAGGGGGATATTTGTAAGGGACCCAGGTGTCTGGGAGGGGAAATCTGTAGAGGAATCGAGTGTCCAGGTAGGGTTTCCAACTGGAGAGACCCAGAAGTCCGGATGTCCCTGACCCCGCTTTCCACAGATACCCATGGCGAACTGGGCCCTATGCCTGGCCGTGGTGCTGGCAGCACTGGCAGGGGCAGTGGGTGAGAGCCGCTATGAGAAGTTCCTGCGGCAGCACGTGGACCACTCCCAGACCCCCGCGCTCGCCGTCCACCGCTACTGCGAGACCATGATGGCGCGGCGACGGGTGACAGCCCCGGGTCGGCCCTGCAAGCCCACCAACACCTTCGTGCACGCCCCCGCCGAGGAGCTGGTGGCTGCCTGCGCCCAGGCGCCCGACCAGGCCGGGGTCCACAGCACCCCGACTGCCATT